GATCAGTGGCAGCTCGCAGTCCTACTCGGTCCAGCCCGCTCAGTGAGATTCCAGAGCCACCTCCATCCATTCTGGAAGCACACGCTGTGCTTCATACAGAGACTTACATCTGTGGGATGACTGAAGCTATAAAAAGTGCTGACAATTTCCAGCAAATTTGCATATGTTGCTGCCGCTGCTGCTTATATAAGTGATTTCTAGTTAACTACAAATACAAAAAAAACCAAGGCCCAAAAATAGGTTTTCAAAGAAACCACTTGCAAATGTGACTGAATCTTTCCAACATTCCAAAAATCACTTGTCTAGAAAAAGCAGACGCAACAGAGGTTTCTCCAGAGGGTCCCATGCAAAGCACCTCCTGGAATACACACCACCCCACTTTCTCAACATCTGTGCTGCCCTGCACCATGAAGGTTGTCACAAACTGGAGCACCTGAGCCTTGTGCCAGGTTGCTCTTGTGTCTGGAGCCGTACAGATCTCTCTACACACATCATCATCATCATCCCAAGCACCCTGACGCAGCTGGGGTGAGGAGGCAGCCAGCCTCAGGATAAGAAACAGGAGCTGTTGTGAAATCCCCCAGTGCATCACACACCACACTCCACTGGCTCTGTGCTCACCACCTCCTCACCTGCATCTGCACAGATTCCCTCTTGCTCCAGGCTGGGAAGGACAATTGCTTAACCTGGGGCTGCGACAGCCTGGTACCAAGGGGCCCTGGAGGGCTCTGCTCAATGGTCAAAAGGTCAGGCAAAAATATAAAGCACACAGGAGGGAGGAAAGGGTCAGAAAATCCCTGCTTTTCAGGTCCCACCGCTGCCATAGCTATTAATCACCAAGAAAGAGGTGAGGGTTGAAGCTGATGGTATCTATTCAATAGGATATGGATGAACAACACCCTCCTTCCCCAAGCCCTTCAGCTTGCAGAAGGGTGCTGCTTGCTCAGCCAAAGCAAAACCAAATAATCTGACAGCAGTCTTCAGGATTCCTCTAGTGTCCATGGATTCTCACGCTCAGGAAATACTGCTTAGGGACCATTTCTCCTTTAACCTACTATCTACAGCAGTGTAGGAAACTGTACTTGGATTTCCAACATAAGGAAGGCAAGGACACGCTGGAGAGAGTCCAGCAATGGGCCATGAGGATGATTAAGAGTCTGGAGCATCTGTCATACAAAGGAAGGCTGAAAGATCTGGGACTGTTTAGCATAAGGACAAGAAGGCTTGAGAGGGATGTTATCAATGTGAATAAAAATCTATGGGTGGGACAGTAAAAAAATTATACAGACTGTTTTCAGTGATACCCAGGGAAAGGATGAACTGCAATGGGCACGGGTTAAAACACGTAAAATCCCTTTAAAGGGACACAAATTCCTTTAAAGGACACAAGAAAAAACTGTGAGGGCATTCAAACACTGGAATACACTGTCCAGTACAGTTGTGGTGTCCACCCTTGCACACACTGAAAACCTAACAGACATAGCCAGGCAAGCCAGGCAAGCCAAGCTGATCTCTGCAGGTCCTTTCCAACCCAGTGATTCCGTGATTAAAACCACAGCAGCCTCCTCAACTGCTCCCAACCAGCCCAGCCTCAGGGAATCCATCTGGAACCCCACCACGAAGCTGATACCCTCCCCTTCTCCCTCTGCTCTCTGCTTTTGATCGTTTTTTGCTGGATGCAACCACTTTTGCTCTCTGACAGTGGTGTCCTCTCCAGAGCTCACAGAGACATGGCAATTCTGGCTTGTCCCTACCATGAGCTCCTCCAGCCCTCCTCCAGCTCTCACTGCTTCCATCACTGACTTGAGCAGGAAGCTCCAGCCACCCCTGTTTTCCTCTAACCCTCCACTGTGGGCTTGCAGCAGCCACAGGAGCAGGAAACAAAAGGATGCCAAATGTCTTTATCTCTTTACCTCTCTATGTCTCTCTTGCTCCATATTTATGGTCCTTTGCTTGATCTCTATGATGAATGAATTGAAAACACAATTTTCCCCCTCTGCTGTTCTTCACACCTTTCTCACTTCCCTCTCTCAGCTCAGGACCAAAACTCAGCACAGACTTTTGAACCAGTGCTGTCAGATGAGATCCCTGTGTTGGTAAATGCGAAGCCCTACAAATCAGAAAATCCAGCTTTCCTGTCTAAACACAGTGCAGGCTTCAAGTCACAAAGGCTTCAGAAGAAGGCCACCTCCTCATGACAGCTGCCAGCCACTGATGGACCTTGCTGAGAGAAGGAAGGGTGTGTGCTGTGGAGGCAGGCAAGGCCACAAGGCACGTTCAGTCTGCTGTGGCAGAAAATGCAGCCAGCTCTCCTTCAGGCTCCAGAGAGAGCACAAGCAGTTGCTGGGGTAAACTGGGCACGGGGAAATGAGGGCAGGACAGAGGGAGAGAATAACATCTTCCTCTTAAAACAACAAAGTGTGGTCAAGTTCAGCTGAGGACAGAGCACTGAACCTCACTGAGAGCTGCAGGGCCAGGGCCACCCAAAGCCCATGGAAGGGCTGGCTGGTACGGAAAGGAGACTGATGTCCATGGCCCCATCTGGACATGCACTGTGACCACTGCCCTGGCATCAGTTCCCATGTCAGTGTGGCTGGGCAGGGACTCAGATCAGAGAACAGAGAAGGACACTATTTCTCTTGTGGTGTCTTTCAGTTAGATCAGGTCCCTGAGAGCTGCACACAAGGGATAAACTACCTATAGAGAAGGGAAAGGCTACCTGAACAGAGCCATGAGAGACAGACAAACACAGAGCTTCCTTCTCACACATCACTCTGATGTGTGCCAAGTACCTGTGATCCCATGGATTTTGGTTAATTAGCTCTCATTTGATGTATTTTTCAACTCCAGCTCATAGTCCTCATTAGGTACCATCTCTGGGGAGAAGGAAAACATGCCAGAGTGAACAGACTCAGCCCTTGCCATTTTTCTTGCCTTCTTTCTTTTTTCTTTCCCAAGAGAAAGGGGGCAGGCTGTGTGGACAAGAGGTCTCCATCAAAGCTGTCAGTGGTACACAAGCCAAGGGTCAGAAAGGCACATTTTGGGGCTGTGGGCACTGACCTGAGCATGGTGGAACTTACTCAGACTTTGGAAACAAGAGTTTCTGACAGGAAAGCAAAGTTATGGTATTTTGAAGCAATTCCCCACTGCCTCTGCTGAGCAGAATCTTCCACATCTCATGATACATTTTTCCCCAAACAACTCCCAAATTCCTAGATGTGTAAACATTTAGCAATTTGTGAAACCACAAACATTCACGTTTCTCAATAAATGATCTTGTAGGTGGCAAAACTGACAAACAACAGGACTCTCACATTCTGAACCTAACAAAAGAAATCCCAAGTGCATCAGTTGCACAGGAAAGTCCAAGGCCTCACTCTTGTAGCACTGTGTGGGCAATTCTTGTTTCTACTTTCCTGTCTTTCCAGGAAAAATAATAAGAAACAGGAAATCAATGGAAGCATCATAGATTTTTAAATTATTTGGACGAGAGAAATGAAAAGGCAGTGCCAGATTTGTGGGCAAAATGTCCTTTTGCATAGAATCTTGCCCGCAGAACATTTCTCTACATGCAGCTGGTGGGCAGGTTTTGCTCAGGACTCTGCTTCCTGCTTCCCTGGATTCCCTGGGAGGTGTGCGTGGAAAACTGGGGATGGGCATTGCCTGCCTTGCATATAAGCAAAGCAGGCTGGCTGATTCCCCTTGGAAGGGGAGGACAAACAGAGGCTGACCTGAGAAATGAGCTGTGAATGGCTTCAGCCCACTCACTGCAGGGAGATGCTCCCCACACCACTGCCATGCCCACAGCCTCGGTGTAAGTTCCAAATGACAACAGGGCATGGCCAGCAAGGGGAGGACTGATGGGGTCATGGCAAGCTCTTGTTTTACTGCATGAGATGTTTCAGAATTCACATGCAGAGATTGTGAAGGAACTCTTCATGGACATATTTTTTACTCTCACGTGGTGTCTTGTTTGCGTGGACTGAAAGCCGTAAACACATTCAGGCACAAGCAGTCCCGAGGTGGGAATCCAACTGTCATCCCAGCTGTCAGGGCCCTGAAAACGACAGAAACTGACAGAACTTTTCAGTATCCTGACAGAAAGTCCATGGGTCTGCACAAGCAGCCTTAACCCTGCTGGGGCTCCCTGAGCCATGCCACAGGTATGGCAGTGAGGTGTCTGCAGCTGGCTGGGAACTGCTGCTACAGAGGGAGAGAAGAGATGGGAGAACTTAGAGAATCCTCCAGTACCTACAGGTACTGGAGAGGGACCTTGGAAAAGGGCATGGAGTGAAGGGGGAATGGCTTCAAGCTGAAGAAGGACAGATTTATATTACACATTAGGAAGAAATTCTCCTTTGCGAGGGTGGTGATGCCCAGAAAACTTGTGGCTTCTCCTGGAAGTGTCCAAGGCCAGGCTGGACGGGACTTGGAGCAACCTGGTCTAGTGGAAGGTGATGCTCATGTGAGAGTGGGTGTAATGGGATGGTCATTAAGGTCCCTTCAAACCCAACCCATTCCGTGATTCCATCGCTCTATACCTGAATTACCTCTTCCACAACATAAAGCCACGACACGTTCAGTGAAAGGAAATGAGAAGGAGCGGAACTCGCCCAGCATCCGACCCTCAGTGACAAGGCTGCATCACCGCAGCCACCGACTTCTGCTGCTGCTCAGCGACTGTGAAAACCCAAGCGTCCGGAGCAGCCCGCAGCTCGTCACGCACCTCAGCTCTGCCTCTCCATGGCTACAGCTACAAGCACCAAACGCTCTGGCCGCCGGAGCGAGGCCGGGCAAGCGGATCCTCACAGCACCCGGCAGCCTCAGCCCGCGGTGCCGGGACACCTGCCCGGGGCAGGGGCACAGCGATGCCGAGGGGGGTCCAACAGCAGCACGGCCATGGCCCCGTGTGCGCCCCGGGACGGCCGGTTCCCCCGCGGGACATCCCCGGGCCGGCCCTTCCCGCCCCGCGCCCGCCGCAGCCCCGGCCCCGCTCCTACCTCCAGCAGCTGGACGTAGCTGGCCGGGAACCAGCCACGCAGCCCGTCCTCCTTCTGCCCTTCCCACCAGCCGCCGTCTGGCACCTGCAGCACCGTGATCAGCTCACCCGCCGCGAAGCGCAGCCCCTGCCGGTGCCGCTCCCCGGAGAAGGGGTACAGCGCCTGGCAGCGGGTCCCCGACATCCCTCCGGGACGCGCCTCAGCCGCCGCCGCCGCTCCGCGCCCGCCCCGCTCGGCTGAGGGGGCCCCGCTCCGGCCCGGACGGGCTGGGTGAGGGGAGGAGGGCGAGAGAGGGAGGAGGAGTGGTGGGAGGAGGGGGAGAGCGGGAGAGGGGAGGACGCGGCGGGAGGAGCGGCCGTGCGGTGCGCGGGGCGGGCGGTGCGTGTGGCGCTGGTGGCGGCGGGACAGCGAGAGGGACCGTGTGTGAGTGACCCGAGGGGCAAGGCGGGGGGACAGCGAGAGGGACCGTGTGTGAGTGACCCGAGGCGGGGGGACAGCGAGAGGGACCGTGGGCGGGGGACCCGGGGCGGGGGGGGGACAGCGTGTGGGCGAGTGCACGGGGAACACCGCTGTGTGCGGCAGGCACTGTTCCGAGGGACTCTGTGTGCTGCCTGTGTCCTCCACATCCCCTCTGTGTGTGTGCGACTGGCACTGTTCGAGGGACTCTGTGTGCTGCCTGTGTGCTCCACACCCCTTTGTATGGCTGTGTGACAGACACTGTTCGAGGGACTCTGTGTCCTCCACATCCCTCTGTGTGTCTGTGTGTGACAGACACTGTTCCGAGGGACTCTGTGTCCTCCACATCCCTCTGTGTGTGACAGGCACTGTTCCGAGGGACTCTGTGCTGGCTGTGTCCTCCACACCCCTCTGTGTGTCTGTGTGACACTGTTCCGAGGGACTCTGTGTGTGCTCCACAGTCCTTCTGTGTGGCTGTGTGTGACAGACACTGTTCCGAGGGATTCTCTGTGTGCTCCACACCCCTCTGTGTGGCTGTGTGTGACAATGTTCTGTGTTCTGCCTGTGTGCTGCACACCCCTCTGTGTATTTCTGTGTGACAGACATCGTTCCGAGGGATTGTCTGTGTGTGCTCCACACCCCTGTGTGTATGTGTGTGTCTGTGTGTGTACGGAGGACAGATGTGTATGTGATTCTCTGTGGAGAATCCCCTGTTTGTATGTGTGTGTCTGTGTATACAGAGGACAGATGTGTATGTGATTCTCTGTGGAGAATCCCCTCTGTGTATGTGTGTGTCTGTGCGTGTTTATGGAGGACAGATATGTATGTGATTCTCTGTGGAGAATCCCCTCTGTGTATGTGTGTGTCTGTGCGTGTTTATGGAGGACAGATATGTATGTGATTCTCTGTGGAGAATCCCCTCTGTGTATGTGTGTGTCTGTGCGTGTTTATGGAGGACAGATATGTATGTGATTCTCTGTGGAGAATCCCCTCTGTGTATGTGTGTGTCTGTGCGTGTTTATGGAGGACAGATATGTATGTGATTCTCTGTGGAGAATCCCCTCTGTGTATGTGTGTGTCTGTGTGTGTTTATGGAGGACAGATATGTATGTGATTCTCTGTGGAGAATCCCCTCTGTGTATGTGTGTGTGTGTCTGTGTGTGTGTACGGAGGACAGATATGTATGTGATTCTCTGTGGAGAATCCCCTCTGTGTGTGTGTGTGTCTGTGTGTGTCTGTGTGTGTGTACGGAGGGCAGATGCTGTGTCACGCCATGGGTCATTAGTGATGCCCACACAGAGAGGCAGCCGTGTGTGCCAGAGTCACCGTGTTTTTGACCACGGGACACCCATGTGTGACAAGCAGCAGTTTCACTCTGTGAGACACTGTGTCTGAAGCATGTGTGACTGTGTGTTTGTCACCTGAGTGTGTGCAACGCCTGTGTACCTGTGGGTGAAACACTGTGCATGTCTAACACCTACACATATGACCCTGTGTGTGTTTGGAGAGAGTCACGCCTGTGTGAGTGTGAGACATCTCTGATGTCTGGGACACACTGTGTGTGTGTGCATTTGTCACACATGATCAAGGGTGTGAGACAAAGACATTATGTGACACACTTGAGCACGTGTGAAGTGCGTGTGTGACACATCCTCAGGTGCGTGTGTCCCTGCAGCACTTGTCTGAGTGCACACCTTGCTTCATGCATGTCTGACTGTAGCTCGTGTGTGAATTCCACGTGTGTGAGCACCTCTGTGTGGCACTCTGCTTTGTGGCCTTTCTCCTAGACCTTTCAGAAGGTGGCTTTCAATGTAGCTGTCCTTCATTTAGCACAGACCGGAGCTGAGCGGAGCTGTCTGCAGGGTTTTTTATTAGGATTCTTTCAACATTTTTCAGCCTTTTTTCACAGTTCTATTTTTGATTCTCTGGATTGTGATGAATGGCTTTAAATCACCCCCTTTTGATATGTATTTAAGCTGATAACTACTGATCTATGATCCATTATGTGGTATTATCACACCAGCTGTGCCTTGCTTGGCAAAACTGCACAGACCTGATATCATGGCACACATCCAGGTACATCTATCAGCAGTGTTCTCTAACAATGCCATTTATAAATGGCAAGAACTGAAATCAAAACAAAATCCTGTCTTTTTTTCAGCATATACAAACCCAGCTTTGCTATATTGCAACTTGGATCCACATAGAGTGTTCACGAAAAATAATTAATTTTGGTTTAAATATTGCTTTTCTTATGTTTGATGTTGACAGAATGCTTTAATATTTTCTTAGGTTTATTCCCTGATATTTTTTCCTCTACTTCCAACTTGTTTTTTCTCACAATCTCCCTTTCTAATATTTTTGCAGGCTTTTGTTCTTCTTTGCCTGAATTCTCTTGGTGGAAAAGCCTCTAGCAGTCCCAGGGTTATCTCCTCCCTGAAGCCATTACAAACTTCAGCTTTATAGCAGGCAGGCACAAATGCATGTAGCACTGGATCTTTAAATGACCTTTGATATCTAAGAGACTAGCAGAAATTAATTCTGGTTTTGGAGAGTAAATGTTCTGAGCGTGTACACAGAAGATACTTTCAGTTGTTAAAATGCTTAAAAGTTTTTGGAGGAAGGGGCCATTGTCAGTGCTTTAAACAGCCAAAATACCAGAACAGATCCAGGAGCTCAGAACAAAACTTCATCTGGTCTACAGTCTCGTTTTGGTCGGCGACTCACAGAGAATGAATGTCCTAGACCAGATACTCATGAGAGTCACACTTGGAAATTTAGGCATCCAGGACTTCAAACATTCTAAGCAGAGGACTCTGAGTCATGTTCACCTGATCAAATATGTGATTCAAACATGAATTTAAAAAAAAAGCACCAAAGGATATAGCTTGGCTTTACCTTTGATTTCTGCTTTTAGAAGTTTTTCGGATGGCTCTGCTGACCTTGGAACTCCCTTTGTACAAGTTCAACCCTGGAAATGAAGTCAGATGTGCAGTGCCCTGCCTGGCTGTGATTGTAGTAAAATTTTGTGATGTTCCAGGGCAGGTTTAGTCATCTTTGTCTTTGCAGTGCCCAGAGCTGTATCTACTATTTTAGAGTCAGACATAAACAAGTGTATTCTCTGTCTATAAATGGCCAGTGGTATTACATGAACAACAGCTTGTGGTGATTCACATGAGGATAAACTGGATTTTTCTGCCAGAATAATTCACCTGGAGAGATGACTGCTTCCATTCACTTCCTTTCTTGGAAGCAGGCTGAGAATAACAAACTGTTCCGATAACATCAGCCTAATTCCAGTCAACATATTTCCTACTGAGAGGCAGGGCAGGCCCACCCTGTTACATGACAGGCAGTAATTGGCCCTAGAAATGTGACTCATAACTCTGACACTTGGCCTCAGAGGTAGGTGTCAGCAGCAGCCAGTTGTCACAAACCCCTGTTTGAAAGAGTGATGCCAGGCCTTCTCTCCAGCAGTTCAGTGTTCACCTCTCACTCCTTGGGGCTCTGAAAAGCCTCAGTCTCAGCTGTGTGCTCCTATTAGATGGCTGCAGAATTTCAAATGAGTTTCCCTTTCTTAGTCTTGCTGCTGTTTCTCTTGCTGCAAACTAAACATTCAGGGCATCCGGGGTACTTCATGGTGGTCAGTGTGCCCACAAAGAGAGGACAGACCTCATTTTAGACCACCTCAGTGATTTCTAAGCATTTATATTTGTTGAACCAGACACTGTTGTAGCCTTATCCTCTCTTCTTCCAGCTCTATAAACACTAGCTCATTAAATGTTTAATGGTTTTGGGTTTATTGAATGTTTAACTATTTCACACTAAATGGAAAAGTCATTGAAAGGAAGAAAGGCATTGTCTACAAATAATATAATTACAGTATTAATAACAATAAGCTGTGACTACATGGATCTCAGCTTCTGAGTGTTAGACAAGAACATTAGACAAATAACTCTGGATCTGACTGTTTGGCTTATTATCTTGTCTCCAGCAATATCTTACAGCAGAAATCTAGGGAAAAGGACAGGTAGAGAGAGACATTTCTGAAAACACCCTCTTCATTTCCAACAAATGATAGCTCATGTCTTCCCCATTTAGATGTGGTATCACATCATTCCACATTCATCTCTGTTATTGAGGCTAGTTATTTTTTTGAGCCCATGCAAACTCTTGGCATGCATAACATTCTCTAGCAAGGGTTTCCAGTGCAGGCATGGTATTTTGGAACCTGCCCCTTGTTTGTTTCATCTGAGGACTGTGCTGGCTCACAGTCATAGGCTCAATCCACCCACAGTGACCTTTATCCCCTAAGAGCTGCACTGGAGTCCAAACCTGAGCCATTACTCTGAAATTTACCTGCACATGGAGATATGGGCATGAACCTGCTTGAAGGGTCCTAAAGGATTTGTCCAAGATTACATGGAGAGGCACTGGAGAAACAGGAAAACATCTCAAGAGGACTCTGATGAAAGTGCCCAAACTTTCCTTCAAATGTCCTTCTCTCTGGCTTAGTATCAATCTTAGTGCTATGATTTGGGCTTGCCAGATAATCTACAACAGCTTGCTGGATCCCAGAGCATCTGATCTTCTCTTTTGAGCCCATGGAGAACTAGGCTTCTGGCCAGCTAAGGAGAACAATCCAGGCAGGCAGCCCTCTGGCCAAACTCCCTCTGGGTGTGCTAGCTTGGACATTGATATTTCCCTGACACTAAGCTTTCCTCTTCAGCATGAATCGCTCATTACTTGAATTCCATCAGGGATTTCTTGTGTCATGAAAGAGTGGAGACTCTGCCTCAGCACACTGAGCAGGACTGACTGCTTTCTGTGGATGAAGCTGTTGATGTGTGTGTGTGTGTGCCTGTATCTGCAGGACATAGATGTCTCAGTGTTTGCCTCTCAATGGTGCCTCTGTTCTACAACCATCTGTGTATAAAGCTGCTATTCTGCCATGAACAATGACTCATACAGGAAAGTCTTGAAGAATTAGGCAAGAACCGTGTTCATCCTGAGGACTATTGAAGACGAGGATCCAATCCCATAAATTCTTGGAAGAACTCAGCCTTAGTTTTCCCTTGACAGCTTTAATCTTTAAAATCTGCTCTTGCTGATACACGTTTACAAACAGCGGGTTGGCAGCAAACTGTTTCTGTCAGTGGGCATCACACACCCACTGCTTGCCTCTGCTCACTGTGACCAACTTCTCCTCACTCCATTTTCCAAAGAGGATTTTACTAGTGACTCTTCCACCTCCTGTATTCTTCTGAGCCCCCACAGATTATTCTCTCCAGTCCCTTTTCTTATATTTCCAGGCTACTCTACTCTGCTAACAATACTGGGAGAAGGTAGGGTCTGTTCTTGAACCCCTGCAAGCTTCAACTGGACCTGGACCTGCCCAAAAACTGTGAAGGCTGTAGGGACTATCTGGGTATCAAAAAATCACAACAATCTCTGCTTCAAATGTCTAGCCAGGTTTTGGTACTCAGGAAAGAGCTGAAAGGAAGGAAATATCCAGAGGATCTTATCAGACAGTCTCCTGTAGGCAGAATGAATGCAGAAGGAAGAGTTTCTGAAGATCAACTGAGCTTCTCTGACTAGTGGGGAAGGTTCTGGTTTGTGGCATCACTGTAGAAAGAAAAGATTTCAGGGTTCTTATATTCCAGTGACCCAGAAAGGAAACTGTGAGAAACAAAGATTAAGATGATCCAGAAAGTTTAAAACAAATGGTGACATATCCTCAATAATGTAATCATAAGAAAATTCCAGGTATATAAACCATACATACAAAAAAATACACACAGGTTTTCAATTGGGCTAGAATTTAATTAGGAATTTTATTCTCAGATTTTGAAATTTCTCTAGGTACCAGGTCTTGACTTTTCCAGTGAATTGATCAGTCCTCAAGCTGCAGAATGCAATCCTTCCTGCTGGATTAGTGAGTTCAGCTGAGTCAGTGAGAAATGTGCATTGAAATCCCATCTCCTGCTCCAAGCAGGGCTAACTTTCAAGCTGGCTAAAGTCACTCCAGGGTCTTGTCCACATGTATCCTGGAAATCCCATGGAGATTCTACAACCTCCTTGGGCAGCACTCTCCTGGTAAACGAAGTGCTCCCTTTGTTGACAGAGGATTTTTCTGGCTGGCAACATTGCCTTTTGTCCTTTCACTGCGCACTTGCTGGGAAAGCTTGGAGCTTTGGAATTCTTACCCCCTCCCCTTGCAGCAGCGTCTCTGCAGTGAGATCCCCCAGCCTTCCTTAATTCCCATCTCCTCTCCTCACCCAGCACACTCTCCTGCAGGTCCTGGGGCTGTGCTGGAGCCTCTCCAGCGTGTCAGCATCTCCCTTACAATGGGCTGAGTGTGTTTGAAAACTGCAGAGAGTGTTGCAGATGCAGCCTCCCCGGAGGCAGGCAGAAGGGAGTGAGCACATCCCTGCACTTGCTGACCACTTGCTGATGCCATCCCGTGACTGGTGGGTGCTGCTGCTGCAGGGGAGCACTGCTGGCACAGGTCCAGCTTGTTTTCCACGAGAATCCCAAGGCCTTTACTGCAGGGCTGCACTCTACAGTCAATCCCCACCCTGCCCTAATACATGGAGTTGTTTTGCCCCAGGTTAAAAAAAAATAAAGAGGTTGTAGTTTTCACAGAACAAATATGTGAGGTGAATTAGACCAGATTTATCGTGTGATTGGAAAGGGTCAAACCCTGGGTCAAACCTCCTGTGCTGAGTGTGATGCTAATGCAAGTACAGATCAACAGTGGCACATGGGAGCAGCATTTAAGCCTGAGAATTTGGGGTTTTCTGCAGAAAGTTCTGAGGTCAGTCACAGATTTAAGCAAACTCTCAGCACAAATTACCCTTTTCCTACAGGCTTGAAAGAGAATCTTGCAGGCCACTGGAACGAATCCCACTTCTATCCATTCCCTCAGGTCCTCAAAGGAGGAGCAGGCACCATGCCTAGAGGGGATGAGCTCCGTGTGTGCATGGTGTGGTTTTAAATCAGCATTTTAATCCTCCTTTTGATTAAAAATCCTCCTTTGCAGATAGGCAAACTAGCAAGAATTATCCTTTGGATACATTGAGATAGAACACAGCTCCATCTCCCTTAATCAGCTACTTTGTTACTATTCTAAAATAAAGAGTCTTGTCCTTTTTTATTTCCTAGTAGAGGAGATATTTATGTTTCATGTCACTTCTGGTTTGACTGAATGAAAAATAGCACATTGCTTGTTCTTAAAGAAATAAATAAAGTTCATTTTATAACCTAGCAGTTATCTCATTTCAACTTCCTTCCAGCTTTCCACACTTTTTTTGAGGGACAAGCAAAGGACTCAGAGGGCTCTGTAGGTCTTATGAGAACTACAAAGCACATCAGGAACCTCCTGGGAGTGCAAAGCATTATTTAGACAAAGGCTTTATAAATATGTTTTCAGCCATCATCACAACAGAGCAAAAAACAGCCCCAAGAACACTCCAGCAGAACTAAACTCCCATGCAAGAGCTGTCGCTCATTCCTGCAGTTTTTTCTCCCTTTATATCCAAACAGGTTTGTGTTTAACAAAAGGATAAACCCTGCTAATCTGCCGATTTGTCAGCCAGCCCTGTGCTTATCACAGCAGCGTTTGTTGGCCGGGGCAGAGGCAGTGCTGATGTGCACAGCTGTGCTGTGAGGACACATGGTGTGTGTCATGTTATGAATAAAAATATACCTATTTTTGTTTAAGGTTACAGAGAAAAAAACGGTGGGACCAGTTGCTGTTAAATTAGCTTAATTGTTAAGAGTTCTTCTTTAATTGCCCGTCAGTGGTTGGTGATTTAGCCATTGTCCCCACAATGCTTGCCCCGGAGCAACACCTGGAGGCAGGATGAATGGCCAGTCAGGAGGCATGGGTGACAGCCAGCTGTGATGACAGGGTATGAAACACAGGATGAAGATGACAAAAACCTAAATGGAAAACAAATTTAGGAGCAATTGAAGCAGATAAATACACAGAAGAGAATGAATGACATGGGAGGAAGGGACACAGAGTGCTGGATGTGCTTGGGAGGAGGCAGGAGCTTTGGCTGGGGTGACCAGCAGGTGTGGGACGATGGCACTGGTGCCTGGCGACAGCAGGAGTGAGGAGAGCAGCCAGAGCTGCCGGCTGTCACTTGGGCCACCCGGCTGAGCACAGCCGGGCAGCACAGCCCAGCATGAGCACGGCCAGGAGCCAGCACTACCTGTGCCTTGGCACACCTGCCAGCAGCGGGAGGGATCCTGTCCCGGCGCAGGAGCGTCTCCGAGACTCCACAGGGAGCCCCTGGAGCTGGCGCTGTGCTCCCAACACGGCGCCTTCTCCGGGACAGCAACGGCGTACCGGGGGCACCCCGCACAAACCGCACCTCGCGTCCCCCGCACCCCGCACTCTGCACACCGAACCCCTCAGTCTGCACACCCCGATCCCCCGCACACCTTGTACCCACCCCCCCACACATCCCGTACCCCCCGATCCCCCGCACCCCCCGCGAGCCGGCGGTTCCACAGCGCCCCCTCGCGTCGCACTGGCGCAGCTGCGCCTGGCAGCGCTCCCGCCAGCCCGAGGGCACGGAGCGCACGGCGGGACACGGACAGACGGACAGCGGGACACGGACACACTGACAGATGGACAGATGGACACACGGACAGCGGGATATGGACACACGGACACAGAGGGACACATGGGCAGAAGGACATGGACACACAGACAGAGGGACACACATCAGAGGGACACATGGACAGCAGGACAGACATATGTAAACACGGACACAGGCACACAGACATGGACAGCAGGACACGGACACATGGACACTGACAGATGGATACGGACACATGGACACGGACACATGGAGAGACGGACACGTGGACAGCGGGACATGGATGCACACAGATAGAGAGACTGAGACAAACACGGACAGACAGACACAGACAGAGACTGTGGGACAGGCACAGACACACAGACAGAAACAGAGCGAGATACAGGCATGGATGCAGAGACATGGACAGACAAGGACAGACAGACATGGACAGACATACACAGGGACACACAGATACACAGACACTTGTCAATCTCATAGTGAATCAACTGTTGATATAGTCACTAAAGCATTACCCAGGTTTATTTATATATATATATATATATATATATATAAAAGTATATCTATATATAAGATTTCTCACAGCTTCACCTTAAGGTTGGCTAAATATATCAGTCACACACAAGCACACCAGGTTACTTGAAAGAAGTAATGGATATCTGCTGGATACACAGAAGTCTTTATCAGGAGGGAGCCTGCTGCAGCTCGGGTCAGGAACCTCATTTCTCTGATTTCTAAGTACAGAAAAAGGAAGATAATGTAGAGGGTATTGGAGCAACTGAGTTATTTGTGGTCTTGTTTCAAGTCTGTGACTGTTGCAATTGTTCTGCCATTTTATAATGAAGAAGTAATATCTCCCAATTGTGCTGAAAGACCTGGATTCTTAGAGTTGATTGGATCTGGTCTATTCCAAAAGAACTTGCAAAATGCAGTGGTTTTGAGTAAGTGACTGTCCCAGATTGCAAGGCAATATGTATTCTATTTGCCATCTGTATGACAGTTTTCTTCTGTTAAGTGGGCAGTTTTCCTTATCTCTTCCACAACCAATCCTCCCTCTGAGGTGAAATCTGCTGATAACAGGCTATGGAATGTTCTTGCATGGCTGATAAGAACTACAGCATCCACTGGGAGATGTGAGCCCAGGGGAGGAGCCAAGCAATCCTACATGGATACAATCTGGAGATTCTGGAACACCAGCACAGTTTCTCCACTGGATTTCCCAGAGGAACAGCAGCTGCCCCTTCCACTGGATTTTCAGAGGAAGACTACACCCTTCTACAGGATCCCTGCTCCAGCAGAACCACCCCTGACACTCCAGGAGGGCTGCAGCCACAATTCCAACTGGACTGCTGCCAACACCCTGACTAACAGGGTGTCAGGTCGTGTTCTGACTCTGTCAGTGTTGTCTTGGTTTGCTGCATTGCTTGTTTTATCTTTTTGTTTTCTTCCCTAATAAAGAACTGTTATTCCTGCTCCCATATTTTTTGCCTGAGAGCCCCTGAATTTAAAATTTATAGCGAGTTGGAGGGAGGGGGTTTCCATTTTCCATTTCAGGGGAGGCTCCTGCCTTCCTTAGCAGACACCTGTCTTTCCAAACCAAGACAGTGACAATTCCTGGCCTTTCTTTGTGAGGACCCTCCAGTGAAAGAGTGGGAGGAATGCAGCTGCGGCCGTTTGGGCAGCGACCTTTGTGCCACCACCTGCACGGGAACGTCCCTGCCTGCAGCCTCCGACTCACCTGGCCTTCCATGTCGCGGCTTTTGGCTCGCAGCTTGTTCACCTGCCCTTCAGCAATGTCAGCCCGCTCCTTCGCCTCCTCCAGCTCGTGCTGCGCCTTGCGGCACCGCGAGAGATTGACGTTCGCCTGCTCCTCCTGGAAATCAGACAGCGCTGGCACAAGGGACACTGCCCCGCTGCGGGAATTCCCTGAGAGGGGGAATTGTGGGAGGCTGTACAGTCGGAGGGTTTTGGGAAAGCTGCAAGAGGCAGGCCTCAGAGGCAGCAGAACTGTGGTTAGGGCTGAGCAGCAGCCATGAGATTGGTCAGCAGAAAAATTATGTAAGAAATAGAAAAGTGAGGGCAAATGGGACAATGGTCTGTGTATTAACACTTGGCTAGAATAACTCCCTAAGCTGCAGAAAAGTCTATCTAGGGAAATATTAGGAAGTTCCAAGCTTAATAATGGAGCTCTGTGCATTGTGTTTTAAGGCTTATAAGCAGGTACTGTATTTGAACAAGCAAGCATTGTTTAACCAAAGGTACCTGTGCTTATAGTAGTTGGATGGAACTACAGTCAATATGCTTTTGCTTTGTGTGATTGGTCAAAAAACTTAAAAGGTAAGTTGTAACATTGAGTTCTTTGCTGCCTGGAATGTGAGCTGATAGCATCTTCCCATCGTCATAACCATGTAATGAGAATGATGCTGGAAAATTAAACAGCTCAAGGCACGTTCCTAGCAGTCCCATCCTGTTTGTGATTTGTACATAGACCCTGGCTGGCAATACCCTGCCACCACTGGCACCAGTGCTGTCCTCACAGTAGAGCCCTGCATTGCCAGTACACTGTGCTTATAGCCAGTGCCATCCACAGCACAGCCACTCGGAGGGCAGAACAATTACCCCACTCAGTTCCAGATGGGAAAATTGGCTTGTGTGGCTCCAAAAATGCACCAGTTCCAGGATAGCTACAGCTACACCTGCTCTGTTGTGAGCCATAATTAAGAATATTCAAAGGCAGTGTGGTCTTAGCTGCCCTGTCCAACTCAGTATTCAATTATTTTAATGATCTAGGGAGCCCACCTTTCAGAAATCTCCACCCAGTCCCCACTGAAAAGGGTCCTCCACTCACAGCTTCCTCAGCCTGTTTCTTGTACGCTTTCACTTTTAACTGCAGCTTGTCCACCAGGTCCTGGAGCCGAAGAATATTTTTCTTATCTTCTTCAGACTGCAGGAAGTAAAAATGGAGTCAGCCTTGGCAGATGAACTGAGGTGACCCCGCAGGAGGGAGGAGGATGTGCAATACCTGGTAAGTGAGCTCCTTCAGCCTCCGTTCGTACTTGCGAGCTCCTTTCAGGGATTCTATTCCTCGTTTCTGCTCGGAATGAAGCTCATTTTCTAACTCGTTAATCTGAAACACAGAATCGTGGTGAAGATGGCAAGAATGGCTGCTGATCCTGCTGCCCTGCAGCTGCTTCTTGGGTCTAGACTAGATAAAATACGCTCCCCATGTTATGTTGGTGATGACACAGTGTGTGAACCCGTAGTTGTTTATAAAAGGAACCTAGCTGTGCATTCCTAGAGCATTTGTAGTCAAAATTAGACTTAAATTTGTCTGAGAGAGGAAATTGAAACAGGGAAGGGTGGGTTCTATGAATGTTCACCAGGTAAATGGGAAAAACCTGTTTCATTTTTTGTCTTTTATTTGTTATCTTTGGGAGTAGCAGTGGCAAATACAGCTTAGGGACAGCATGGAAACCTGGCTGCTGTCTATTCCCTTTCCTCTTGTCCATCTTCCACAGGCATTGAACTAGAGATGTAAGGTGGCATATCTATGACTGTGCCCCTCTGTAAACCTGCTGATTTCTACTCCCTTTTTGAACCTTTCACCAGCTGCCTCTACAGCCTTCCATGGCAACAGATTCCCAAATTCACTGCCCATTCTGTAAAGTATTTCTTTTTATTTATTTTAAAGGTGAAGATGGGCTGGTCTCTCTCAATGGCAGAGTCCTAGCCTTGCTTGTCAATACTCATAAAACTTTATCTTGCAGATCCTTCTTGAGGTGCAGAGACCAGAACTGCATGTGGTATACTTAATGTGGTGGCAAGAATGTGTTGCCATACAGCTCTGTCTTGTTCTCAGTGCCTTTCCTAATGAAACCCATTTTTTTTTTCTGTTTTAGGTCTTAATTTCTATTTCACATTCAACAGCTTCTGAAGTCTGTCCATTACCAGTTCCAACTTCATCCCCAAGTAAATTAAATTATTTTTCACTAGACAAAATCACCATCTATGTCTCCCTGATGTCCATCTGCCCCCATTTCGCCCACTCAGTTTTTTTGAGGTCACTCTCAGGTTCATCACCCGCAGTGCATTATTTGGCTACTCAGCACAGCTCTCATCAAACCTGCTGGGAATACCTGGGGCTCTCCCTGTTTTCACCCTCCCAAGAGCTTCCAGCAACCAAGGGCCCAGTCAGAAACTTCACCTTAATCTACTCAAATCTTCACCATACCCTGGCCTCCAACTTTTGGAGCTGTTTCTTCCCTCCCTTCAGTGCCAGCTGCTCAGCCTCTTCCAGACGAAGCTGCAGGTCCTTCACAGTCTGTTCCAGGTTCTTCTTCATCCTCTCCAGGTGGGCACTGGTGTCCTGCTCCTTCTTCAGCTCCTCTGCCATCATGGCTGCCTGGTTGTGGTCACAGTTATGTTACAAATATCTCCATCCCAGCAGCCCTGGGTGCCTGAGAACAACCCCCAGCCTCACACTGGTGAGTGACTCCGCACGTTCTCCGTGCCCATGGCTGTGCTAGCGCTCTGTCATACAAACAGGATCACTCTCAAAGTCTGTGTTTCTAAAAATGCTTCACCTCAGAGAACAGACAGGGTTGACATAAAGAAAAAAATAATCAAGGCGTGCAAATGGATTGGTACCAAAATTCTATTTTTTAAGTCAGTCAATATTGAGGTGTTACCAGCTAGCACTCTGCATCTCTGGGCTTCCTCATGACTTTGAGTATCTGGCTATCTGAAATTTGCCAGTCAGACTTCTAAGCAGTTTTTGCAGTGAGATGACCCTGAGTACCTCAGACTGCACTGAAAAGCTGATGGCTGCTGAGGTGCCCAGAAGCTGGGATTGATAGCTGTCACCGACGTGGCAGAGCAGAGAGGTCAGGGATCCTGCAGCACTGCTGCTGGTGGGCAGGCAGGACCAAACACTGGTGCACCAGGACTTGATGCAATAGTGTCACTATTCTCTGTTTAATTTTCCTATACCTTTCCTAGATGGTCCCAGGGGTTGTTATTTCTGATAACGTGGAACCTGTAGCCTCATTTAAATTAGCCATTTATATTCTCTCTTTCTTACATGTCTAGCAATTGAATAGAATTGTGTATGATTTTAGTCTCAATTTCTGCTTTTCTGTGCTGTGTCAAGACAGGTCTTTGTTTCAGACGAATCTTTTTCTATTACAACTTTGCCACCATCTGTTCTATCCTGCCTACTACATTTACTCTGGAAGCAAAAGTGAATGGGTATGGAGAAGGGGAGAGAGAATTCCTCTTCATTACAGACAGCTAGCAGGGCATGGGGACCCTTTCTGGAGGAGTCTTCTGTGACAAGTGCTATGGCAATGTCTGCATGAGGCCCATGTGGCAGGGACTGTGTGTCACAGACATTTTCTGTTGAAGAATTTGTTCTCCGTCTGACTGCTGCCTTTCTAAAGGGGAAAAGTGGCTGTGGTAGCACAAAATGGAAGAGCAAGAGGACTCACATCTGTGATGGCTTTCTTTGCTTTCTCCTCTGCATTCCTGGCTTCCTGAATGCTGTCTTCAACTTCAGTCTGTAAATGAGTTATGTCCACTTCCAGTCTCTTCTTGGTGTTGAGGAGGCTCGTGTTCTGTCGGGGCAGTCAGCAGACAGGTCATCCCCATCCTGTTTGTACTAATTAATGTAGGATGAGCTGCTGCCTAAAACTAAAGAATTCTAGAATATTTAATCGATCCTAGTCCCTGTGAATTCCACATTTGAGGAATCAGAAGCAGAGAGCCACGTGAGCACGCCTCATACAGGGGCTGCATTTCTGGTGCCCCCCGAGCCAGGGAGCCCAGAGTGGGGGTGCTGGCCCTGCCAGCTCCCCCATCCTCAGGCAGCAGATGTGTTTGTGACACTCCCACACCTGCAGGAACCTCCTGTGGTGCCAGGAGATGCCAAATACCTGTGAGTGCAGCAGCTGCACTCTCTCGCTGGCGTCCGTCAGCTCCTGCTCGGACACCCTGCGGGCTCGCTCGGTCTGCTCCATGGCAGCTCTCATCTCCTCCATCTCTGTTGTCATCAGGCCGTTCCTGCGCTCCACTATAGCCAGCTGCTCTTTCAGCTCATCATTCTCTCTCAAGGCATCATCTAAATGGAGCTGGGAATCCTTCAAAGGCGAGAGCACCTTTTGTGAGACCCAGAGGCAAGCAGAGGGAATGGCAGAGGGGACAGCAGCCTTGTGGTTCTTACCTTGAGCTGCCCTTGCACAGCTTTAAGGTGCTTCTGTGTCTCTGCTGCCTGACAGTTGGCATGGCTCAGCTGTATTTCCATGTCGTTCAGGTCTCCTTCCATCTTCTTTTTCAGCCTCAAGGCATCATTTCTGCTTCTGACCTCTGCATCCAGCATGGTTTGCATAGACTCTAATACCCTCTGGTGATTCCTCTTCAGCTGCTGGATTTCCTCATCTTTCTCTGCAGTCCTTCTGTCAACATCTGACTTCACCTGGTTCAGCTCCAGCTGAACACGTAAGATTTTCCCCTCTTCGTGCTCTAAAGAGCCCTGTAAGGGTTGAAATATTATATTTTGTCTCTTAGTGCCCATTGCTGGGAAATACCCATGCAGAAATGTGACCCTTTGCAGCTGGGAGGGACCCTAAAGTGGACCTTTAAAGACCAAGCACTGAAAAAGCTGACTGCTATCCCATACTCACTGTACTTCAGCTGGATATTCAATGGTAATTTAGGAATAATATTCCTTAGGAAAATGCCTCTGATATCACAAGGTCTGGGCACTGAAGGCTGTGGTGATGCTGGAGAGACAACAGATCATGAGGAAATATAAAACAGGACAGCCAAGCTTCCTGTTCAGAAGCAGCTTGCCTTCTCTTGCATCTCCATGCTGATTTCTGCTTTGTCCCACCCCAGTGACTCTGTGGGCAAGTTGCCCTTTCACACAAACTTTCCCTCTGGTACTCATTTCCTTCCCTCTGGTGTCATCCAGCTTTTGTTGAAGCAGTGAAAAGCCTGAGGCTGGGTCTTTCCACCCACTGGACAGAAATAAGCACATGCAGAGAATAAAACAGCTGATGTAGCCCTGGCATCCCTTCTAACATATTTTCCAGAGATGCCTGATTCTCCTTTTGGATTCTAGAATGAGCCTGTGGTGACTAATTCAGGATTGGACTGATGATATTTAGATGCATAAATTGGAGTAGATGGATTACTTGACCACAATAATTCTTGCTCCTACTGCCCACCCATTTACTGAGACCTGGAGATTGTTTTATATTTCTTTTTCTACCTAAGAGAAATGGAAGAGAAAATAAAGTGAGGCTCTTCTTGGTGGCGAGCAACAAAAAGACAAAAGGTCTGTCAAAAGTCAATACAAGGGGAACCCTGGCTGCATATAGGGATAAAAATGTTTAACCCTGAGAATGATGTTGTACTGGAAAAGGTTGTCCAGCAATACTCTGAGACCTCCATCCTTGAAAATTATAAAAACCAATTAGACAAGGCTTTGAGCAACCTAATGTAAGTTCAGAATTGGCCCTTCTTTGACCAGGAAGTTGACTAAAGACTTCTAGGAATCCTGTACAAGCTAAATTAATTCTGTCTCTCTGTGTTTGAGGTATGCTCTAGGTATATCATGGAATGCTCATGAAATGTTTACAAAGCTCATGAAATGTTTACAAAGATATTTTGTGGAGAATCAGACCTGGTAATACAGAAGTAATAATGTCTTTTCCAAGAGACAGTCAGGGAAGTTACAGAACAGAAGGCTAGGAACAAAGCTGTTAGAGTTTTGAAGTGTTAGTGACTTTTCTTCAGCCTTCCATGGAAGCAAATTCAAAGAGATGGTGCAAAATGAGCTCAATTTTAGACTTTTTAGACTGGGACTGAGGGGGTTTTGTGCATGATAGCACAGCAAGGAATGCCACATTGGTATGGCAGGGGAGCAGTCCCTGTGCTTTTTGATCTGTCTGTCTGTGCTCTCTTACTGCACTTCTGGAACAATTTCAGGATAAGCAGGAATATAAAATATACACCCAAATTTTCTCTATTCTCAATTTCTCTAAAAGCAAGCCCCTGACTGAGGACACTTGCCTCTGCTTCTTCTAATGCTGCTTGTAGGTCACACTTTTCTTGCTCAATTTGCTTCTTTGCTTTCTCCAGCCCATGATTTGCTTTTCCAGACTCAGCAATCTGTTCAGTCAGATCAGAAATTTCCTCTGCAAGCAGAAAACACATACTCAGCTCTGCTCAGACAGTGTGATCAGTGGCACCTGCAATTGCTCTTTGGCAATGGGAGTGACAAAAGGGACTCTGGTGTAATGGGATGTAACAGTGAGAAGAAATAATACATCATGTCTTGTGTGCAATCTTCATTTCTGATAACCTGCACATCCCAGCTCAGTGTGCAACTTGAAAATGAGAGGGACCAACTGGAGTAAGCTCAGAAAATAATGTCAACTTCTTCTGGGTAGTGAAATTACATCTCCAGAGACAGCCAAGTTGGGCTGATCTCTTTATGCTTAGATAATTCCCAGTGATCATTCAGTTCAAAAGGATCTGAGTTGTATTTCCTTTCTATGGTTAGTTTGCTTATTAAATGCCAATCTGTTGTGCCACAGCTGCATGATCCTCCAATAATCAGGACACAGACATCAGCCCACCAGATTTTTTCTAGTAGCAGTGACAGAAACAATCTGAAAAAACTGAGTGTCATCATAATTTCTGTCTATTCAGTTAACTTGGTCCTTGTGCATGCACAGGATTACGATGGTGTGAAGAAGGGGGAACATCCTGAGGAAGCAGGATGCTGTAGAGATGGAAGTGAGTGCCTGCAGGTGACTTTATGATCAGCTGAACAGGAAAGAAAGTCACCACCTTTGTGGGAAAATCATAAAGAACAAAACCCTGGGAAGAGGCAGAGCCCTGGCAGTCCAGAAATGTGGAAGCATCCGAGGGCTCACAGTGAATCCAAGGTGACAGACACAGGAACTCACGCTGGAGGTTCTTGTTCTCCCGCCTGACAGTCTCAGCCTGGTCGAGTATCTCCTCGTAGGCATTCTTCATCCGGAAGATCTCGGTGCTGAGAGAGCGAGACTCCTTCTGGGCAGCCTCCAGCTCAGTCTGGCTCTCCTGGTACTTCTGCTTCCATTCAGCCAGGATCTGGAGTGACAGGAGAAGAATGACCCGTTCTGACACACTCCATCTCTGCGACTGTGGTAGTTTCTGGGGTCCCCAGGACAGAGGTGGAATGGATGAATCTGACTCCGTGTTCTTAGAAGGCTAATTTATTATATTATGATATTATATTATATTAAAGAATACTATACTAAAACTATACTAAAGATAAAAGTTAGGCTGGCAGACTAGCACCAGGACTTCTTTGCATGTGAGTACTCAGTCTGCTTGACCAGTCTCCCTTGTGAAGGCTTAATGTTTTTTAAAAATTATCAGAAGGCTGATTTATCATTTGCTGTGGTCACCTGGGGTTATTTACACAGTGACCAGATGTTCCACTATGGGGTCCTTACCATAATTTTGCTTTGGGTAAGATGCAATTTATTTTACTGTGAGCACAGAACTTCAATGATTTCAGAATTTGTCTTGTCCTATCAAATATCTGATGATGTTTAGATCTGGCATGGTTTTTTGAACAAACCTTATCAAAATTCCTCTGCTTTTTATCAAATGCTGCACAGACTGCATGTGACCTCTCCACGTCAATCATGAGGTCATCCACTTCCCCCTGCAGCTTCTGCTTTGTCTTCTCCAGTGAGGCACACTTTGCATTGACAGCCTCAATCTGCTCCTCTGATTCCTGCAGGCGTTGGGCCAGCTTCTTCCTGCAGGATGGGACATTCAGCACTGAGAAAAAGAAAGTTCTGACCTTCTCAGATAATGGACAACAAAGGAATTTGGAACGGGAAGGATGGGCACAGAGAGCAATATATAATGCTGTGGTGCCAGGAGCCTGGGGGGCACAACACTCTGAAGTCCCATAGACTAGGAGAATATGTACCCAAGTATGAACTGTACCAATGTGGAGAGGGACCAAAAATATGCTTTCAATACTGACAGTGTAAAGAATGTGCTCTTTCAACTACTATGATTAACTAAATGCACTGGAATTCTCCTTTATATAGACACCTCTACTTCTCCTTTAAATATCCACTCAACCACTTTTCACTTCTAATACATTAAAAAGCACACTGCTCTGCATATTACCACTACAAACATATACTGGTTTCTTTCAGTTCTGCACTCATTATGCTTAAATGTCCTTCTACTTTCTCCAAGCCATTCTTCCACGTACTTGGCCTCCTCGAGCTCCTCCGTGCGCTGAATCGCGTCCGTCTCGTATTTGGTTCTCCACTGGGACACTTCGCTGTTGGCCTTGGACAGGGCTCTCTGCAGCTCCCCCTTGGCCTCCTGCTCCTCCTCATATTGTTCCCGGAGCAAGTCACAGTCATGGCGAGCGGACTGCAGTGCGTGGGCCAGGGCATTCTTGGCCTTGGCAGTTAAAATTAAACGAGTTGTCAGAACACGAGTAATTTGTGACTGGATATTTTGTCTCTAGTCTGATAAAATATTCGTATCTCCCTGTCCGTGTGCTACAGTTGCTAGAGAAACAGACGGAGCAAAATGAATAATATTAGGGATTCTGTGTTTCAGGCTAAAACAGGGTCGTTTCAGGCTAAAACAGGGTTGTTTCAGACTTAAATATGTTGTTAAACAGGGTCGCGTGCTTGCCCATCTTGTCTGGGGGGATAACACCTCTCAAACACATCTGCACCAGGTGTTTCAGGCAGAGGCAAAATAAATCCACCAACAGAAAAATTGCAGGTGCTCCTGCTCTATTTTCCTTTTTTTGGCTGCTGCTGTTTTCTTTGCCTGTAGGCACAGAGCTACTTCCCTTCATTTCTCTTATGTTTGTGATCTTCAGAATGCATGATGAGAAGGGCTTAAACTGTCTTGTTATTTAATTTTTAATGTCTCCTCCCTGTGTTGTATTCCAAGGCAAAGTTCAAAATTTTCACTATTCTGATGTCCATTCTCTGAGGAGAAATCTCATTTATTTCAAAATTTGTTGTTTCAAATGAAAGCAAGTCACCTTATTTTCTTCCTCTAGTTGTCTCTTCAGCTCTTCAGTCTGCTGAGTGAAAGAATGTTTGCCTCGAGTTAACTGAGAAATCAAGGCCTCCTTCTCCTCCAGTTGCCGAGTAAGTTCACCTAATGAGAAAAAGTTGATTTTTTTAAAGACAGAGATACGAGACAAAAAACAAATGAATGAGAGCAGCTAGCCACAAAAAAAAAAAAAAAAAAAAAAAAAAAAAAAAAAAAAAAAAAGTGATTGCAACATTTAAAGTGGTAAATTGAAGGGAGAATAGTAATTGCATTCCCACTGATAAAAAACAGCTGTGTTGGCATCAAGAAAAGGTGAACTGACCACAAACTCACAAGTTCATTTTGACTGACAGTACTCCTGGTTTGGTTTTGTGTTTCCTTGGGTAGGTTTCTATGAATGCCACCAGGAGGAGGTTCTACATTCTGAGTTTTGTTCAGATCACCAAGTGATAAATATGTTACAAAACACACAGACATTCAGGCAGCATATCTAAGTACTTGACACTGGAATATTACATTTCATCAGGGGACATACCATTCTCAGTCTGTAGGCTTGTTTTCTGTGTGTTCAGATCATTAATGAGCCTCACATGTTCATCATCTTTGGCTCTGACTTCACTGAACTGGTCTTCAAGAGCTCGGCACATCTTCTCCAGATTGCTCTGTGAAGAGGTAGAAAACAAATCCCTCAGTTCACGCGGTTGTTCAGAAGAACAACGCTAACAACAACAAATACTTCTTCCTGTGAGGCCACCTTGGCTTTGGAGACAGACTCTACGTTGCTGGCCAGGTCATCAATCTCCATCTTCAGCTCACTTTTCTCCTTCTCCAGCTTCTGCTTCACGCGTTGCAGGTTGTCGATCTGCTCGCCCAGCTCAGCTGTGCTGTCCGCGTGCTTCTTGCGCAGTGCAGAAGTCGTAGCTTCGTGCTGCAGCGTGGCCTCTTCCAGGTCACGGCGCATCTTCTGGAACTCTGCCTCACGCTTCTTGTTCATCTCCACCTGAGCTGCTGTGGCCCCTCCTGCTTCTTCCAGGCGCTCGCTGATCTCCTCCAGCTCCCTGGACAGGTCGACTCTCTGCTTTTCAGATTTGGCACGGATAGCGCGTTCGGCCTCAATTTCCTCCTCCAGTTCCTCTATCCGAGCCTATGAACGTTAATTGTTTAAAAGAGGACTTTTGAATGGATAGATCTAAAATTATCACTAAGGAATAAAGAGCAAACATTCACAACCATTAATATTTCTCTTTCTAAAGAGAAGTAACACTAGAAATTTCACGGTATTGTGTCCTAGGACAGGTAATACTCAGTTTTGGAACAATGGTGAGTGTAAAATCTGACACTTAATGTTATAGCTCATAATGAATTTATTATTTTGTGAAGGCTTTAGAAGTTCATTTTCCTGAAGAAATAGAAGGGGTGTCACTGGAAAATGTAAAGAAATGTGAATTTGCAGGAAATTTCCTAGAAGTTAGGCCAGAAAAAAGCAGTGCCCTTTCTCCAGCAGCAAACAGGATGGAAGAAATTCAACATGAACAATCATGGGATAAGAACACTGAAGAGAGCTGTCTTCCTGGTTCTGCATTTAGAAGGTGATCTTTGTCCTGATCATGACACATTGAGTCTCATTCTATTGTTTTCTTAGAAAAGTGATTCTCAGTGGCTGCACATCTGTGGCATTCTCAAAGCCTGCCACAATGTTCATGTAAGAAATTTCCTATGTAGTCATGCAAGATTTGAGGCCAGAGTTTCTGTAAAAGTGCCCTGAGATGGGAACAGCACCCAAAGTCACATATCAGTGGTTTTATTCATGTGAGAGAAAATATTTTTGTAGAATGGTCCAAGAATAAATAAATATTTTTGTAGCATGGTCCACTAAAATTATTAGTAACTCCCAGACTTTACCTGAATCTCCTTAATTTTCTTTTGCAGCTGAGAACTTTGAGCCTGCTCATCTTCAATTTTACTTTGCAATTGGCTAATTTCAAAATCCTTTCTATTAAAGAACAAGAAGGCAAATTCAGTGTGGTTGAGATAAAACACTAATTTCAGAATTCAGAGCGTAATAAGTCAGTGTAATACTTTTTTATCCTTTCATCCATTTGTTGCTTATCATTTTCCAGATCCATTATGGAATCCTGAGACATTTTCAGATCACCTTCCAGTTTTCTCTTTGCTCTCTCAAGGTCCATTCGCAGCTTTTTCTCTTGTTCCAGAGATGCTTCAAGCTAAAACACATAAAACATACTTTGAAATACATAAATTATACTTTGAAAGTAACTATTCTTGATCTAAAAATCTAACTAAGTTGGAAATTGATTAATAGAGAAAATAATCAGGGCATCTCCACATGTGCAGTGAGACCAGAGCTGCCATGGTGATTTAGTTTCCAGACATTGAGCTGTTCACAGCTTGGCTGTGCACAGTTGAACTACCAGTTTTTGAAAAAACAGAAATTAAATTTTTCCAGTAGCTGCAGTTCCTAGCATATAGACTGCTAAACATACAGAAATTCCCAGTATTTATAACTTCCTGGAGTATATGTGCACAGAAATAACTCTGCAGCAACCTTCAAACTGTCACAGGTCTCCTGCTTCAGCTAATGGGTTAAATCAGATCACAAAAGCCCACAGTGCTGAAATACCCTGTGATGAACATGAAAGCTGTGCTGGATTCCACAATTTCCTTTAAATTAGCAGTGTTTTATTGGCTTAAATTATTAGAGCTGGCTTGTCTGCTTTAGGTGTTGCTTATACTCCAAATTACAGATTTCTAGTCTACTGTTATCTGTCACAGGGTATTTATACATAACCCAACAACTTCTATTTACATCATCTACTTGCTGCTCCAGCTTGGTCTTGGCTTTGTTGAGGGTGCTGACTTTGTCTTCCTCAACTTGCAAATCATCCAGTGTCTGCTGGTGGGCTTCCTGGAGGGCCTTCTTCTCCTTGGTGAGTTTAGAAATGTTTTCATCCAGAGCTGCCATCTCTTCGGTGAGGTTCTTCACCTGTCAGACAGCCAGCACCCATCCCATGAGGGGATGCCCTGAGAAATGGCAGACTGGGAGCACAGTGACTGCATCCTTGTGTGGATGTAGACAAAATGCTCTCTGCAGAATGTTCTTATTGATTGCAATGAGGGCAGCAGCAATATAATATCATACATTATATTCATTGCCATGAGGGCTGCAGCAGCCATGAGAGTCTCATCTCTCTGCTCCTGCAGTGATAGGAATTCCTCCTTTAGTTATTTTTGATCCCCACCCCTATCCTACTAAATTTTATAGTGAAACCTGCCAGTTCTTCCCTTGCCTCTGAAAGATTTTCCTATTGGGATTTACAAAAGCCCTCTGAGTTTCTCTTGCTCAAGAAATGTCTTCCCTGCATATATTTGCTGTGAAAACAGCTGTAATTTCTCAGCAAGTCACGTTCTTTAAAAAGGGATGATCAAGTGTTAAACATAGCCAAAAATATATTACATTTTCCCTAAAAATGAAAAAAAACATGATAACATGACAAAGAAAAACAGAAAAAAAAAATTCTGTCAGCTGATTGACCAAGTGAAAATACCTCTCTCCTATGCATTGGACACATCTCACCTCTATTCACAGAACTTACAGGTGGCTACATTTTTCCACAAAACTGACGAGCTGTATGGGAGCACTGTCTGGGGAAGAATAATTCCCTGATTCCTTTGTCACCTTATTCTCTGTTGCATGCTTCTCCTTCTCCACTTTGGCCAGAGTCATTTCAAGATCATCAATATCTTTTTTCAGCTCCGAGCACTCATCTTCAAGTTTCCTCTTCTTTGCTGTCAGTTCAGCATTTGTCTCCTCTTCATCCTCCAGTCTTTCATTCAGCTCTTTAATTTTAGCTTCTAGCTGGATTTTACTCTTAATGAGTCCTTCACATCTCTCTTCAGCATCAGCTAGATTTTCAGTCTCCTACCAGAACACATTGAAGGCACATTATATTTATCATAAAAATGACAAAAGACAGTTAAGACCTTTGGTGAGTGAAAAAATACAGGTTTTTTTTTTGAAACTAACCTGATTTGAAAGCACATGGCAACAAGTGACAAGTCCACTTGCACCAAACTGCTCTTGGCCATGTAATATTTCATTACCTTTTAGAGCATGACAAGTATAATTTAGAATATTTTATTACCTTATAAAACTTGACAAGTGCAATTTCAGTCTCTGTTCAGCAGTATTCCAGAGAAAAGCAGTTTCCACAGTTTGAGTCCTGCCTCTGGCAGAAAAGCTCCATATTATAGTGGCAGCAGATGTGGAAACAGCCTATATTCCATCCAGAATCAGGCACCACTGAGAGGAGCACATTGTATACACTGTGGAATGTCTGATTCTTCCACTGCTGGTAGCATTGGAACCTCCTGTATTCTTACTGGGGTTAGTGTTTGCTGCATGCTTTGCACCTTGCTCAGGTGTAAGGGACAAGACCAGAAAGAAGCAGTGGGAGGCTTTGTACCTATGACATGCCTGTTTATAGAGAGCAATGGAAAAGAAGAGAAAAAGAACAGCAGAGTAAGAGGAAGTGGGGTGAATCTGGAAATGGAGGTTACTCACAGACTGAACCTGGAGCTGCAGGTCATTTTTCTCTTGCAACAGGGTCACCATTTTCTCCTCAAGCTCCTTCCGTTTTGCCTCAGACTTTGCAAGCTCCTCCTTGGTTTTCTCAAAATCTTCCTTCATGTTGGCCATCTCCTTCTCAGACTCTGCACTCCTCAGCAAGGGCTTGATCTTGAAGAATAGCTTCATCCATGGCCAGTGCTTGACATTCATGAATGAACGAACATTGTACTGGATGATATAAATAGATTCTCTGAAAACACATGAAACCAGTTAATGAGGGTGGTGAGACTCGAGCTGGAAACATCCTGATTATTTTCCACACATCATCAGGATTTACCCCAAGAACTTTTGCATGAGACTTTTTCCCCTCATCTCCCTTGCTTTTATTTAAGAGTAATTTCGAGGCCATTACTGCAGAATGCCTGGCTCAGTAGTTTGAATAATATCTACTGTCTGAATATACAAGGAAGAAATACTACAAAACAGACAGACTTCTCTGGCATATTGACTGGGGATCTCTTAGGCTTTCCTCAGTCTCAAGGAAAACACAAGTGCTCAGGTAAATACCAGAGTGAAAACTGATATTGTTGAAGTACTGCTGCTAAGACTACAAATCTGGCTGTTACTGTCAATTGTGGAAGCAGCAGCTTGATGCTTTTTGGGTCACTCAAAATAGCAAATACCATATTAGAAATTTTAAAGACAGAAACTGAAAAATAAGGAAACATTTTTATGGAACTGAATGCTAAACAGCTGCTGCCAGAATTTGTGAGACTGTCAGGAGGAAACTGATTGTTGGTACTTGCTCTGCTCCCCAATAATTTCTAAGGTCCTTTCCCAAGGACAGCTTTTTGCCTGAGACAATATATTACATTGATGGACCTTTGGTCTGACACAGTACAATTGCTGGCATTTTCTCACATTACCTTCTTTCATTCATCTTTTTAAATTCCATTCTCATGAGGTACCCTCTGCACATAGCTTGTGTATGAGTGATGAGGCTCACAAGCTTCTCGTCTCTCATCTCTTCCAGGAGTCCCAGGAGACCTGCCTTGAAGAACACCTAGAACATAAAAGAGGGTCAAACATTTGAGGCTTGGGCAGATACACAGCCATTGACAGCTGATGCAGGGTAGTACAAGGTGGTTTAAAGAAAAATGCCTGCAGGGGAAGGGTTTAAGAGCTAGAGAAATTTTCTGTCAGTATTCAAATCCTCAAGGTACTGTGATTCACAACGAGTCACTCTGTGTATGAGCTAATCATATTTTTGCAGTGTTATTTGATATCTGCTCCACTGTAGTTTATGAAAAATTTAGCTCATCTCTGGAAGTGTCCAAGGCCACGTTAGATGGGGCATGGAGCAACCTGGGATCGTGGAAGGTGTCCCTGCCCAGGGCAGAGTTGTTGGACTGTTTATAATCATCATGAATGCTGATTTAGTATGCAAGAAACACTTTCAACAAGCAAAATATTTTGCTTAATTATATTTACTCTTCCACAAGAACTTTACCTTGGTGTGGCCAAATTTGTATTGGTTGTGGTCAACATCAATGGAGGAAAGAAGCTTCTCTGAAGCCTTTTTGCTGTCAATGAATTGGCCTTCTGGAATGGCTGAGGCATTAAGGATCTTGTACCTGTGGTGAGACAGGTTGCAAGAATTGGTTGCAAAGAGGGTGAGGAAGACAGGATTAATTGTATATCATGGGTCAGTTTCACACCAGTGCAGCATGGAAGATGCTGTATTTAACTATAACAGCAGACAGTTCTGATTTAGCACTCTGTGGCAACTGAGCCCCCATGAACCAGTTTAGTTGTCTCCATTTTAAAGATGAATAAGACCAGAGACAGAGCACTGTGAGGATGCTCATGTGGATTGACTTTGCATCTGTACTCGGGAAGTCTTCAAAGAGTAGTCTACAATGGCACCTTACTCATTGCACTGCAAGTGTTTTGCATCTCTTTGAATCATCAGGCACTGGCTTCAGTTTAGAAATTATCCTGGTTCTGATGTTTAGAGAAGTCTCTGATCTGGTCAGAGAGGGAAACACTAGAGTGACCTCAGAACAGTGTTAATGCCTTGGTTCCCTCCAACGCCTCTAATCTGGTCTGACTGGGAGTGTCACCAAATGTGTCACATGAGCTGTGTTCTTACTGGGAAAGTGTCACCAAACGTGTCACCTGAGATGTGTGCTTACTGAGGCCTTTTCCTAACAGACATTGAGTAATAACTGAGGACCTACCTTTGCTTGAAATCTGCATAAAGGATTCTGCTTGGAAACCCCTTCCTGCAAATTCGGATGCCTTCTAGAACCCCATTGCACCGCAGTTGATGCATCACCAGGTAATGGTCCATTGCACCTTAAACAAAATACATCCATCATGATCCCAATTTTATCACATGGAATCATCGTGTGTACTAGCATTTCAGAATTATCTCCTTTTATTTTTTTTTTAAAATTCAAGTAGCTCTTTATTAAAGATGCAGGAAGAGCAGACAGAACATGCCTTCAATTCATACAAAGTTGTGGAGAGTTGTATCAGTGAGTTTTACTAAGAACACAAGGGCTAGCAGTGCTTGTGCAAAGGCATGAGGCCTCATTTCTCAAAAAATGGCAGGATGGTGGTTTAGGAGACCAACTGAAAAATCTTTAACAGCATCAGCCTCCTCACTGGATGTGGGCAAAGGTGGCATGGTGTAGTGCAGTGCCATCCAGGCAAGGGATTTTCTAATGCTGTTACCCACAACAGGCAATTTTATCAGCTGTAATCAAACCCATCTTTTTCACCCTCAGTTCTGTACACACATTAAGCAATGATGCAGATACACACATAAGCAAAACTGAGTAACTGGGCCATGTAATGCTCAAATTTTTTCAGTCACAGTCGACAACACAAAAAAGCTCCCCTTGTTACTGTCTTGCAGGCCAACCCCCAAAAGGACTTTGCCTGCAGAAGGAGCTATCTGGGCAGTTGGTGTGGAAGCTTAACAGGCCAATTCCTGCCAGTCCCCTGTCTTCAGAACATAAAGGTGGCCTTACCAGGTGTCTTGGTCTCGTTAGGAATCAGACAACGCACAAAGTGAGGATGGGTGCTTCTCAGGTTGGTCATCAACTTGTTCAGGTTCTCCTGTGATAGGACAAAACAAGGGCTTCAGCTTCAAGCTACAAAGCTTTTGCATTCTTATTAAATTCAGTTATTGAAGTTCAGGGAATCACAGAATGGTTTGTTTTGGAAAAGGTCATCAAGTCCAGCATCCTTGTCCCACTATTCCAGGTTGTTCCAAGCCCCATCCAGCCTGGTCATGAACACTTCCAGGGATGGGGCAACCCTGTGCCAGGGCCTCCCCACCCTCAAAGTGGATTTTTTTTCTTATATCCAGTTTAAACCTACCCTCTTCCAGTTTAAAATCACTGCCTTTTGTCCTGTCACTACAGGCCCTGGTAAAAGGTAATTTTCTGTCTTTCTGATAAGCCCCCTTTTATGTATTGAAGAAGCAGAATGAGGTGTGCCTGGAATCTCCTCTTCCCCAGGCTGAACAGCCCCAACTTTCTCAGTTTCTTTTCTAGGATCGGTGTTCCAGCCCTCAGATCATTTTGTGGAATCATGGCTCACATTAAAAAAAAATTCACATACCCTGAACACAGCAGACACTGTCTGGAAAGAGCCCCCCTTCTTCTTGGCACCCTTCTTGCCACCACCACCAGCACTATCACCTTGGAAGAAGTAGATGGGAGGTGAAGAGTTAAAATATGCAGTACATTTTGTAGGCTTCATCTTCCTTTGGCAATGGACCAGTAAAATACTTCATTTTAAATACTGACACACTGCTCCCTGAGAGTTTAATGAATTGCTGCTAGGTAGTTGTTGATCAGTGTGTGGGATTATTTAATCTCAAATGCAAGATTTAGGTTGCTGGTATGGAACAGTATGGCCTGACCTAAGTTTCCTAATAGTATGCTCTGTGCTTCTGGTCACATATTGCTTTCACTATTACACAAACCTCCATTAATTTTTTTTTTTTAATTAAAAAAACCTCAAAAATGATTTTTTGCCTTATTGGCCATCACTGAAAAATCACTTACCAGTTTCTGCCCCACCAGCGTAGTTAGAATAAAGGAAGGACAGCAGCTTCAAGGATGATTTCTGGTACAACCCCACAACAGTTTCATTCAGAGGATCCTTGTTCTTGTCAAGCCAGCCAGAGATGTTGTAGTCCACTGTGCCAGCATAGTGCACCAGGGAGAAGAAAAATCAAAAATACCATTTAGCCCTCAAGTAGCCCTCAGTGGGCAAGCATACCTACAGCAACTCACATCAAAGATCTCAAAGCCAGCGATGTCCAGGACACCAATGAAATGCTGTCTGGGCTGTTTTGTGTCCAGCTGTTGGTTGATGCGAACAACCATCCACAGGAACATCTTCTCATAGACTGATTTAGCCAATGCCCCCACTGAATTGTACACCTGTAAGAAGCACAGCCATGGTAGTAACAAAGGTTGAGTTAGCTTTACATTTGAAAGAACACTCTCAAGAAATTGAGAAGCTGATGGGCTATTTATATACCTGTTGGACATTCTGTCCTTTGGTTACATATTCATTCCCGACTTTCACCCTGGGATAGCATAAAGCCTTGAGCAAATCAGCAGAATTCAGACCCATCAGGTATCCAGCCTTGTCAGCCACTAGGATGAGAAACAGCAAAAGAGTTCAGTAGAGACAAAGAAAAGTGTCCTGGTCCTCTGGGATGTCTCTGTTACAAAGAGCCTACTTTTGGCACAACTCAAATGCATGTGTTATCAAGAGAAGCTCCTCTCTAGTCTCATGGAGAATATTCTCCTTGCTCCAAAGGCAACATCTCAGCTGCAACACAATCCTGTGTCCATGCCTGAAGGGCTGCAAGCAATGCTTAAGTTGTATGTCTTTCTGTTTCCTTGTAGAGGGTGAATTAAATCAGTGTCTTTGTGAGGCTTGAAACAATCTTTGAAAATTATTTTCCTTTCCAGAAATTAGTTTTTATAAAGTGTTGGGCACTCTGGAGGGTTGGGTTGCCAGCTCTCTGCTGGTGCAGTTCACAAGCAAACTCTGCAATCAGCCCTACCTTCTGTGCCATCAGGCTCTGCCTGCTCCTCCCGCTGCTTCTGCTTGAACTTCATGTTTCCATAGTGCATGACAGCCCCTGTCAGCTTGTATATCCCCACCTTCTCATCGGGGCTGAAGCCCAGGATGTCCACAGCATTCTGCAGGGGCAACAGGCAGGTTGGGAAAGCACAAAGGGTGAAGCACAAGGGGCAGGTGGGGTTTCTGTCCCAGCCTGTGCTGTGTCCAGCACCGTCCCAGTCCCATGGCACTGGGCCAGCAGTGCTGGGTAAGGCTGGACAGACCCCCCTGGCTCAGCTGGGCTGGCTGCAGGGCTGCTCTGCTCAGCTCTACTCACGTCTGTTGCCAGCAGCTCCTCACTGTCATCAATGCTGGCAACCGTGACTTCTCCTTGGCTCACGTAGAGGAAGTCATAGGGGTTGGTGGAGATAAGGAGGAGATCTGCAGGTACGTGGGTCACCTTTAGTGGCACTGGGGAGGTCACAGTGGGAAGAGGAAGCTCTCGCTGAGCCAAGCCCAGCACTGCTGGCACTCACCAATGAGCTCGGGCTTCTTGTTGGACATTATCTGGTAAAAAATGTGATAGCTCCTTTCGCTGGACAGCTGAAAAGTGACTCGGGATTTCTCCAGGAGATCTAACCAAAAGAGAGGTGATGTTAGTCTCCTGATGAATTTGAGGTTGCAAAAGCATGAATTCTGCTTGCTCTGAGTTGCTCCAACTCACAGGTTTCAATATCTGCTGAGGCCAGCTTGCCAGTTGGTCCGAAGTGAATCCGGATGAATTTTCCCTATCAAGCAGTGCAGATCAAATCATTGGTTATGACAATCAGTGAATGAAGCTTGCATTAAATTTCTTCTTTCTGGTAAATCTGAAATGAACTCACAAAGCGTGAGGAGTTGTCGTTCCTCACAGTCTTAGCATTGCCAAAAGCCTCCAGCAGTGGGTTGGCCTGGATGATCTGATCCTCCAGAGTTCCCTAGTCACAGAAGAAAATGCTTCTTTACCACTTTACTACTTAGTAATTCACAAATATTGCAAAAGGGATATTACAGATAATTTTTACATATCACACATAATTTAAACGTAAAAATTAACAGAGTTCTTAATCACTCATCAGCCAACACTCATGGATATTTCCATGGGTTTCAAAGGGAAGAGTGCTGAAAGATAGATCTGTGTTTTGCTTATTTCTTGTATCTGGTACCACATGTTTGGTATCACATACAAAGTCAATGCAGTGGAGTTCAGGGCGTTTGAAAGTTGTATGAGAGCTGTTTCTGCATTCCTGTTCACAAAAGTCTTGACAGCTAAAGAAAATGTGAGAAATCTGGAAAGTTTTCTGAAGGTTGCTCATGCTTGACAAGTACAGACTTTGGTAGGAAACACCTACCAAGGGAGAATGCAAAACTTTGCAGTTGCATTCAAACAGCAGCAGCCTTTCAGGATGCAGGAATACAGCTCTTGGCATTCTTTGAAAACTGAGACATGGACAAAGCCTGACACTCAAATACCAGACTTCGATAAGCACGGAACAGAGACTCCTCAATTTATATTTTTTTTTCCCTTCTGCATTACTGCATTACTGCAGAATGAATGATCAACATGTGAAGTTTTGATACTGTGCTGTATCTGTCTTGGTAAGTGCAAAAATATGGAAGGAAAAAAAGCTTCTGTGACATTATTCTCTCCTTTTTGGTGCAATACAGTCCAGGAAGCAGAGTCACTAATGCAACTCCTGCAAAGTCATGACTGATCCTTCATAGTCTGGGCATGAAAATGTTGCCAGGGATAATTTCCAAGACAGATGGAAAACCAAGAATAAGGACAAAAAAAAAAAAAAAAAAAAATTGCTTTACACCAGATGAAAGGTGAGAAGCACTGTTTCAGTTACTACATCTCTGTGAGTGTAGTAGTGCAGCCCTGAGCACAGGGGAGAGGCACTGCCATTCCCAGCACTGTCTGCAGATGGCACAGCAGGTTTAAATTAGTTTTTGTTAGTCCTCCGTGAAGATGGACATCTAAAATTAAAGCAGTAGCATAGGAAGCTCTACATGTTTTTTCAAATAAAATACCCTAAATGCATAGAATAATGTCATCTGCATGTATCTTTCGAGAGGAGAGGAGAGGAGAGGAGAGGAGAGGAGAGGAGAGGGATGTGTGTGTCAGTGTGGCTGACTACACAAACACTGAGCCTCTTTTGAGTGCATAGCTGTAACCAGGGAACTAAAACTTGGATAACATGGCAATACTTTATACAAGTTCATTCTGGAATCCTGTTTACAGGCTGGATGACAAAGTGTTGGAGGCCCAGACCATATTTTGGAAAAATGCTGTTACACACTTTCCTTATTCCTGTACCATTGCCTGGCATCTGATTTCAGCTTGTATCTGCCATTGAAAGATGTGCTACACAGAGCCATAACCTGTTTTATTTAATGCTCTTATGAAGAGGAACTATTGTCACAGAGATTGGAATGCTAAAAATGTATTCTGTGAATAGTCAGAAGAGGGCAGAACAGATTACTGCCACTCTGAGAGCCAGGTGATTTTCCTTCTATCACACATGGTCTGTACATGTCTCAGCTGTCTTGAAGCTTTTCTGAGATCAGTCCTGGCATAGTGAGCAGCTGATGAAAGCTGAGCCCAGGAGATTTTAACATGGTGCTGATGGAAAGAGTGCCTGTGATGAACTTGCCTTGGCCATAACAACCCATCACTCACAGACACCTGCCTCTGACTGAAAGAATATTCAGCCTTGGAATCTCCTTAAGCTCCTCTATGCCCTTGGGTACTCAAATAACATGCTGACACATGTCACACGCTTTGACGAGCATCTCACAGGCTGTGGTGGCACACACTTGTGCCACAAGGGTGTTTGTTCCTTGTTCTGTGATGGGTAATGAAGCCTGTGACTTGCAAATGCAGCAGTGGGCTCAGATGGCAACAGCTGTGCTGCTCAGCAAAGGGACATGGAGGCATGCACTTTCTTTGCTGCAAGGATCCTTTCTGAGGTTCCTTTCTGCCTGTCAGGCGAGTGGTCCCAGCTGTCCCAAATCCAGCCCTTTTCTCATGCTGTCCCTCTGGGTCGTTCTGTTGACCACAGACAGAAAAACCAGCCAGTGGAAACTACTGCCTGATGCAAGTGAAATGATGCTTAACTTCATCACAGTCACTCTGGAGTGCAGAGTTCCTGCACTTCCCCTGTCGACAAAATGAGCCAAGGACCAGGAATGGCACAGCCATGTGCCAGTGGGAACTGACTGCTTGTGGCAGCACGTGTTGTAGTTGAGACAGCCACGACACACAGAGTGTCACCACACAATTCCAGAAGGCTTTAAGCATTTGCCCATACAGAGTAACATCAAATAATTTCAGAAAGCTGCAAGCATCTGCCCTCCTTGCTCTTCAGCCCAGCCTGTTACACCCCAATGTTCCTGCATTGCCCTGGGTGCCCTCTGCTCCCTTTGGTGGTTGCTCAGCACACCTGGGCACTCCATGGCTCATTGCTGCCAGTGCTGCTCACCTGCTGCTCACAGCTGCAGCCACTGGGGATGAGGCTGGGCCACAGCCCCATGCCAGTGACCCAAACTGTGCCACACACAGCCCCAGTGACCCAAACTGTGCCACACACAGCCCCAGTGACCCAAACTGTGCCACACACAGCCCCATCCCAGTGACCCAAACTGTGCCACACACAACCCCATCCCAATCCCCACAATCTGTGTGCCTACAACTGCTCTCTTTTCACCTGCAGCACTCAGGTGCTGTGGATCTCAGAGGACACTGAAGGACATAGATGTACAGCACAGAGGAAGCTGCTGTCTAACATTATCTCCCACTCCCTGGTAAAGACTCCCCTGTGTAAATGGAGGCTTTCCTACACTGACAAAATCATTTTATAAGTAAGAGTTCAGCAGATTTGAGGCTGGGCACCAGAGGTAAATGAGCATAGGTGTGCTTGGGTTGTGCATCCTGACTGTCTTCTCAGCTGCACGACACTTTCTGCCTCTGGATAGCCCCAAAATACACATTGGTACTTTTTCCTCAGTGTTGGCAAATACTAGAAGGAGGAGCTGATGTCATACCTGCATTTTGCCGGGCTGTGGATCTTTCTTCTTCTCACCAGTGACTGCAATTGTTGCAAAGTACTGGATGACACGCTTGGTGTTCACAGTCTTCCCTGCACCGGATTCTCCACTGTTCAAACAAAAAACATTAATTATTACAGGAAACTGTTTAATTAATGATTTCAATTAATTTAATTCTTTTAATTTAATTAAGTATTACAGGAAACATAATCACTTTTCTGTCAGCTTTGTCACTCATACCAAATCATACTCACGTGATAAGGATTGACTGGTTGTGACGATCTGAAAACAAAATCACAGAAAGAGCTGTCAAGTGAGATGTGGAGGGCATCAGTTCTTCAGACACAACTGACTTCAAGGGAAAGAACTGTATTATATCAATATTTATCACCTTCATACAATCTAAGGTAAGTGATGTATGATTACCCATTAGTTTGCATCTGGACTTTTTTTTTTTTTTTGATGCAGACAGGGATGAAGTAGCCCAAAATTTAACTTCAAGTAGAGATTCATTACAAGGTTTCCCACTTACTATTTGTTTTCTTTTATGTATAGACCTTGGATTAAATACTCTTTAATTATAATCAGATTATTTGCTGTGTTTCTCCTTTAAATTCCTTACAAAGAGAGGAGGCACAAAGCCACACAGCCAGCTACTGCTTTTCCTTCATTATCTGATAGCCCACAGACCATCAAGATTTTTGCTGTCTGATCTTGCATTGTGCTGTAGGATGATGGGACCACTGAATAGAACTTAAAATTCCTTGACCAAATAGCCAGACTTACATATATCAGGGTTTTCCACTCTTGCCAGGTAACTCACCAGTCAGCATGAACTGATAGGCGTTGTCAGAGATGGAGAAGATGTGTGGAGGGGCCTCCTGGCGCTTCTTGCCGCGGTAGCCAGTGACAACCTCAGGGTTGTACACCGGCAGCCACTTGTAGGGGTTGACAGTGACGCAGAAGAGACCCGAGTAGGTCTGCAAGGAAGGGACACAGCACCTTGGCTTCCCCTGAGCCTGGCCCAGCAGCTCCTGAGGCTGCCCAGAGGAAGCTGCTGCTGCCACTTACGTAGATCATCCAGGCTGCGTAACGCTCTTTGAGGTTGTACAGCACAGCGGGTTCGTGCAGGTGGGTCATCATGGCCATGTCCTCGATTTTATCAAATTTGGGAGGGTTCATGGGAAAGACTTCATCATCCTTTACAGTCACAGTCTAGCAAAAAAAAAAAAAAGAAGGGAACAACATAAGAAATGTAAGACAGGGAACTGCCTGAACTGGATGATCACATAGGAGTAACAATGGTGTCACTTACTGTGTCATCATATTTTTTAACAGTGACTTTGTCACCTTCTTTGCTCTGTATGGTACCTTTCACATACATTTGCTTGTCATCTACTACAAAACAGGCCGACTTAGCATCAAATGGGCGATTCTGGGCTTCAATTCTCTCCTTCTCTGGCTTCCGTAAGTAGGGAGCAGCTTCTCCAAAGATTGCCATCTCTGCATCTGAGCTCATGGCTGCAGTTGCTCTGGAGGAATGCAGAAAAGTTGCAGAAAGTCTGTGCATTTGTAATTTACATTTATCCAGACAGTGGCCATGCTCAATGACTAACAGGAAGAGGAGGACTAATCATACACTTAACTTCTGCCTCAATTTTATTTATCCACAGAAAAAGTGCTAATAAAGAAAGTTCCTCTTGTGGCCAGATTGTCTTTGATGACATTGCCCTTAAATAGGCCTATGTAACCAGGTGAGGGCAGAGAAAATATCAAGCTAGAAGTCTTGAAAAGCTGGTCCTGCTCTATCTTCACCTACTCACAGAGCTGCACAGCCACATCATTATCAAAGCCACATACACAAAGCCACTCAGTTTATGTCATTGGACATCTCAAAATTTAGACAAAAGTAAGCACTGTGAGTCACAAAGAGTGGCTCTCACATGTGATTTCCAGGTGGAGGTATGTTAGCACCCTCTGCTTTTGATATTTTAATACCAAGCAGGGGAAGTTCAACTAGTTTCTGTCTACACAAGCACTGAACAAATTGTGAATGTCAGTCATCACCTATCCTAGAGCCAAACTTGATTATTGGGTGAACCAAATATAAAACATCTTTTCCCATTGTGTTGCAAAATTGGCCAATAAAGGAATATCGTGTATATTACAGATAATTAAGAACATAGTATTAGCTAAGTAACATAGTATTTTGGTAAATAAGTACATGATATAACATTTCAATGAATCTCATTTATAGTTTGAGCATATTATAGCTTGAACATATTATATTATTTATGAATTAATAAAAGACAATTCATATGTACCAGACATTTTTAAGGATTTGTCTGGTAGAAATATTTCAGAAAACTGATTTATGCTTATTTTTGTTTTGCATTTTTCGAAATACCAAATAAAATTCTTCAACACGTTTGTAATGCTACTTCTGGGCATGTTGTTGTAGAACATGCAGCTCTCACTCGGCAAAAGCCATCTGCTATGGGATCTGCACCCTGCAGGACTTTGAGGGACTGCCTCATGCAAGAGCTTTTAACAGCCAGCAATTTCAAAATAATAAAATCCAGAAACTTTAGCTTACTCTGAAAGCAGTATTCTGCATATACAGAGCCCAGAGTTGTGTCTATGTGATCCTGTGTCTGAGGGGCTCAAGAGAAGCAGAAGAAAGGAAAGAAAGGAAAGAAAGGAAAGAGAGGAAAGAAAGGAAAGAAAGGAAAGAAATGAAAGAAAGGAAAGAAAGGAAAGAAAGGAGGTATTTCACAGTGTCCATGAAAAAGTGAAATCAGAAAATGCCATCAGACAAGGCATATCAGAAAATTCCTCAAGGGGCACAATCTGTTAAACTACTGAATGTCTTTGATAGGAAATAGTGTAAAATTTAGATCTTTACACATTCCTGAGCAGAAAAGCCAGCATCCTCTAGGAGAATAACCTGTGCTTCCATCCCTTTCAGCTCCAATTTCAGCGAACACTTTTTGGTTTTAGGATAGAAGACAGATGTGTGAAGGTTCCCCCTGTGCTCTGCTGCATGCTCCCAGTCAGTAAATCACTAACCTTCCCCAGAAAACCCAGGAGGGAGTGGTGCACACAAGTTCTCTGTAAAGGTTCCTCTTTGGACATGAACAGATCTGCCTGTCTGGCAGGAGGCAAGCTCATTCTGAACTTTTTCTAGGTTTCAGTGCCCGTGTGATAAACCAGAGTCAGTAAATAATTTTTTAGACTTTACTCCAGAGGAAACTAACACCGAATATTACTTTGAGCCTCCTCTCCAAACACAACCTCAGGCTTTCAGCAGCTGTGCAGATAGCAGGGGATGAATTTTAATAAGCCATAAATCCCAAAACTCAAGGTTACACCACAAAAAGCCATTTCTGTCTCTGTCTATCATGCCCTCTTGACTACATTTGACCATCTGTAACTTTTCTTTCCCAATACATGGAGTATTCCTGCCAAGAACTGTGACTATTGCTCATGTTAATTAAAATACCATATATCTTTCCAGTGATTCTAGTTTTTTGCACCTGCCCTTTCCATTGTCTGGGTGAGCTTTACTTATTGCTCGAGGTCAATTAGCAAAGATATGTGTTATTTGTTAAACCCCTACCTTCAGAGATCCCACGAGGAAATCTGTTTTCAGAACCTGTGTGGAATGGTTAAAGAAAGGACAGAGAGGGTTACATCAAAACCAGTCCATTGTCCTGAGCACATGACATATCAAACATTCCTACACCCGGTGTAGCCTCTCCAGAACTTAACTCCTGACCTAGAGCAAAATTCCATTGAGAGTCTTGTGTTCCTTCCCTCATTTCTGTGAGCTGCTTGAAACAAATCTGATGTCCAGAAAAAAAATTAGCTGCTTTACTTATATAATCCCAGTCAATTCAACTGCCTTCAGAGTTACTCTTCCTGTGCCTTCCACAGGACTTGGAGGTAGCAAAGTTGGTAGGAGGCCCTTCCAGGGGCTGGCATGCTGTGACTCTCCTGCTTCTGCACCACTTTCAAGTGGTTTGGGTGGTACCACTTGGAGTCTGCATGTAAAGCATGACCTGGAGTGCTAGAGGTGGGGAATGAGAAGAAAACACCCCTTCATATTCCACCTTTTTGGGGATCTGTTGACACGGTCATGGTCAGAGCATGAAGAAAGCGGATGGCACTTACCGTGAGATGCTGAGGTAGCAAATCACAAAGTTGCCTTCAGCTGCAGCTCTTTATACCTTATCTCCTGCCCACACAGCACTCCAGAGCTCTATTTTTGGTCAATAATAATTTACTCTTTAGTTGTAAACGTGTTGTAGCTCTGATCTCTCTGCTAATTACTCAGGGACAGGATTGGTTTAAGGTTGTATGGAGTCAGCTGCACTGACCTGTCCTTTTCACATTGATCTGTGCCAGGATGGAGGATGGAGGAACCCAAAGACAGCTCTGATAAAGCCAAATAAGGCAACACTTGGCTCTGCACTGCAAGGGTTTACCTTAGTCAGCAGGATGGGGTTTTTCTAATTATGCACATAAGGCAACATTTGGCTCTGCACTGCAAGGGTTTACCTTAGTCAGCAGGATGGGGTTTTCTAATTGTGCGCACTTCCTTCTTTAAGGATATAATAATAACGGATTCCCTCCTATCCTCCCTGTTTATCTACACATAATGCTAGATAAGAAGAAAGATTTATTGAGGGAAATTTTTATACCATTCTCTCGGGTGCTGGTAAGCCTGAAGCCAGCCTCAGTTTTGGGGCAGAGTGAGACATCTGCCAGCTAATGGACCACAAGAGAGACTTGCATTCCTGACCCGTGGTTTGCAAGGCGTGCTCAAGGTCAGCTGCAGAAAGGTGCCTGATTTTTGTGCCACTCCACTATCCTGCAGAGGTTGTCATGGAGCAGGATGGATGTCAAACCACAATGACTGTAAGTTGCTCTGTAAGGGAAGGTGGAAGGGGATTGTCTGCTTCTTTCAGATTAGCTGTTTAAGTGTGGCATTCACATTCCCTGGAAAAATTCCTTCGCCCAGGATTTTTCCCCTGGGAAGCTGAGACGCCTAAGAAAAAGGAAAACAATTCTTATCTCATTTGCTTCACCTTTGTTGTGCTCATGTGGAATGTGTTTGGAGATTGTTTACCCACAGGTAAAATGATTGTTTCATTGGGTTCTGCTGTGAGTTGTTTTGGCTCTCTGGCCAATCAGGGCCAAGCTGTGCTGGGGCTCTGGAAAGAGTCATGAATTTTCATTATTAGCTTTTTAGTATTCTGTAAGTATCCCTTCTATATTCTTTAGTATAATATAGTATAGTATTCTTTAATATTATATATTATTATAAAGTAATAAATTAGCCTTCTGAGAACAGGGAGTCAGATTCATCATTCCTCCCTGCCACGAGTGTCCCTGAAAATACAATAGTTTAAGGACTGATTTTGACACTGCAAGGGGCAGTAAGAAAGGGAGGAATAATTGAGAACATGCTGGGACAAAACCCTGACTGACAAATGGTAAGGGAGGAGGTGGTGTGAACCAAACCTGGTCAGCCACGCTGCTTGGTGAAGGCATTTAAAAATGCAAAAAGTAGCATTCTTGAGGGTCTCTCACATCTTTGGAAAATACTCTTACCAAAAGATAATTTTGTACAGGAGATGCAGTGGCAAAGCAGATTTGTCATCATTACCTCATTTTTCTTTATTTTAAGGCAGAAGAAACTTTCATCAGAACATTATTTAAACTTTAGAGGCCATGAAATCTAACCACCTCTTTGTGGAATGACCCAGCTTCTTCTATGGGAAGAGATGGATTGTCAGATGGATTGTTGTCATTGCTTCACATTGGCTCAGTCTGGGGAATATCCTTAGTGCATTTACACAGCTCTCCTTGGCTGTTTGTTTTGGATTATCTTCAGGGTGCCCATGATTTAGTTACAGTAGGAACAAAAGGCATCTGTATTGCATTCTGCAATAAAAAATGGATTCCTGCAGTGTTGAGGGGAACTCTACTTAGGCCTTTTCTCTTGGTTTTTGAGTCCTTTCTAGAATGTCTTCCAGTGCTTTTATTACTTTTTTTTTTTTTTTTTTTAAATATCAGTGTCTCTTCCAGTCTGACCTGAACTGTGAGCACAGATGCTCTCAGAAATGGCAATGACACCACGCAGATGTGGAGATAATATTATTATTGTATTTTTCTTCCGTTAATTGCTGTGTATCAAACATTTAAATTAGCTTTTAAATTTGGTTGCAACAGCAGAGTTGTAGGTGCTTTTTACATTTTAACAGTCTCAAGACCTGGTTTGGGTCCCCCACATTACAGCAATTTATCTGGTGAGGAAAGGACCACACATTTATTGTGTGAGTCTCTAAACAGGTGTTGTACCAGCAGATTCATCTGCATGGTTCCTGTAAATTGTAATTCCCGGAATTCTATAAATCCTCCTATTTGCTAATGTTGGTCAATCACAACTATCTTCAGGAGTTCTCATAATTCTGGCTTTGTCAATCTGTGTGCTCCATAAATGTCAGCCTGTCT